AGTTACGGGAGACTTTGTGTCTCCTTTGGGCATATCAAATGAGACAGCGACGTCGCACGCTCCCCTATGGCAGTAATTAGTGAGAAATGTTGCTCGTCAGCAGGGTCACAATGTCAATACCAACTTAGAAATGGAGTAAGGGACTGAGTCCAGGAAAATTGTATCAGGGAAAGCAAGAATATTGAGGAATAATGCATCGTGAAGCTGTTCTGGTAACTTTTTTGTGCAAACGTGTAAAAAAACAGTTGTTAGGAACTCTTCAATGATCGTGAACAAGGAAAAATAACTGTGAGCGAACTGAGAAGAAGAATGTGTCATGATCCCAAAATGGTCATGAAACTATGCTCTTCCAGTAAGCAAACAGTATAGAAATCAACTTTTAAGGAACTCAAAAACTCACCACTGGCTTAGTAGCTCCGCGTTGTACAGAAATGCATTGAATAATCGATAGCCGTTTATAGCTGTAGTTATGTAATGGCTGGTAGGCGAAAAAAAGTCGAAACTCCGCTCAAAAACGGAAGAGAATGCGTAGTTGAGCGATCAGTACGCAATTCGGCGTTTACGGAGACGTCTCACCATTGTAGGTCGATCAATTATACGAATCAGTATGGTGCGTGGCTTGTGGACGAGTTCTCCGGTCCGAGGGAGCGGCTGAACAGGCTCAGGGAGGTGTCAATTAGCGTCCAGCAGCGTCCCAGTTACGGTAGGACAGCTGCCAGCCACGCCATCCGACCGACACCCCTTCCCATCCTTCCACCAGTCCCTTCCACCAATGACGTTGGCGACAACCGCCCGCCCACGCAATCGTGCCCACTGCCTTCGAATCTTTATCTTTCTCCATGCTTGGTTCCAACCAGTCACTGCTGATTGAAACACGTTCCATTTAGGTTCAAGAATCGGTGTCCCGATGTCTTTCCCCTTTGGTTCCAGCAATTCGAGATACGGTAAAGACACTGATTCAAAAGCTACAATGGCTTTTGTTGAAGCCGACTCTTATGGTGAACGTCGTGGTGCTGCATACGGCATAGCTGGTATTGTCAAGGGAATGGGTGTCTCCTCACTTAAGGTTAGCAGTGGTTTTAGTGACCGTTCGGTCTGCTGATAATGAGAGTCAATCGATTGATGCAATTTTGCTCGTAATTCGGGCCACATGTTTGACGGCTTCTGATTTGGATTATAGAAAACTAATCGGATGGGAGATGCATTGGTACAAACTCCTTCCCCAGCTCTCTCATAACGCTTTGGATGCGGCCTGAACAGTAGATTTCTGCTGGCCGCTTCTTGAAGTCTTTCTTTTCTAAAGTTCCATATTTTTTGTGACACCGATGGGAGGGGGGGGGGGGCAGGCGAGGCTGAAGGATCAACGCTCTCAATTATATCCGGCATCTTGTACCCGTTGTTGTAATTCTGCGGTCCTGAGGTGCTTTTAATGGATAATTGTGCATCCCATTTCCATGGATTCGTTGGTTTTTACGGCATTGCATATGAACGCGGTCTGCTAGGCTGTAGGACAATCCGAATCATAAATAAAAATACAGCTTGAGACTAGAGTTAGCAGATTCAGCAGTGTTTGATCATTGTTTGCCTTTTCTGCTGCATATCTTGCTTTTACTCAGGAACTGGATCTTCTACCAGCTATTCAAAAAGCACTCTTAGAGAAAAAGAATGCCAAACATCGCGAGGGTGGCTTGCTAGCGTTGGAAATTCTGTGCAGGTATGCGTTTTGCTCTAAATAATGGCAATGATCTATTTACAATGCTGCGTTTCAGTACTGTTGGTAAACTTTTTGAGCCATACATGATTCAAGCGTTGCCGTCACTGCTGCTTTGTTTCGGTGATAGCGATGAGAATGTCCGCAAAGCGGCTGAGGTTAGGAACGTTCTGTATCAAGTGTAGTTTATCTTATTCATGAAATCGAGACATTGGATAACTCAGGATACTGCTGTGGCCATGATGTCATCAATGTCACCCCATGGAACGAAGCTGGTTCTTCCATCACTACTGACAGCACTTGACGATGAGTCTTGGCGGACGAAATGTGCAGCAGTGAGTTAGCGGCCCCTCTTTTGCCATTTCCTTCAACTTGTGCAAGGCGTAGATACATCAATTACTTTGCAGACCGAGCTACTTGGCTCCATGGCGTTCTGCGCTCCTCGACAACTCTCAGCCTGCCTACCTAATATTGTTCCAAAACTTATCGAAGTATTGGCGGACTCATCGTCGAAGGTAATTACTATATCTTGTTCTCAACTATCATTAGTTCTCAGCTCTCTGATTTAGGTCCAACGAAGTGGTGAAAAAGCCCTTAGACAGATTGCGAGTGTCATCAGGAATCCAGAAATCTTGGGAGTGTCAAATCAACTAATTTCGGGTTTGCTGGATCCGGCCAACAAAACTAATTATGCTTTACAGGTAAAAGAGACTTGAAGTCTGGTCTCTTATGATGCTACATCAGAAGGTCCCATGAGTCCCGGATTTTTTTCCATTACTCGTTGCTTTTTGAACACGCCGCTTTTCCCATTGAATTATGTGGGTTGAAGGGTGGTGGGAAGCGAGGGGGGAGGGCTAGTGGTCCAGTCATGAAGTTGAGATGCGGGGCGCTGCGGCAGAATTCAAACAAGCTCAGGCGAGAGGCACGTAATCACGTACAGTAGGGTGAAAGATCCATCGCAGGGTCAAGCAGCATGTATACGTTCATGGGCATCTTGACACGGTGCGGGCGGGGTTTCTAACCACCGCAACCTCCCAGCATCCTTGCGTTTTCAAGTGGAGATAGCGACTCACTGTGAGACCTGCGTTCCTCATGCACTGAAAAGGTGTCATCTCAAAGACAGTCACGA